AATGGCGTTACAACGACCGTCAAACGACAAACAAAAAGCTAAGTGGGTAATCACAAGCTCAGTTTCTCACTCGCTAATCAAAATAATGAGAGACAAACCACAGGTCGGTTGCTCAGCTCAAATCAAATCGTGACCATATATCAAAACGACTTTTCTCTCAAACTCGGCAAGTATATTCGAAAATGCCACGAATATTGTACGATAAATACGAGTTTGAATGGTGACCCTTCCTTGGCTTCATTTGCTCCATGGTAGAATATCTCAATAGCGATTTTCATTCTCTCAATATATGAGTTTTCAATACTGAAATGCATCCCAGTCTTTTCGTATAGTTGCATGAACCTTATAGTAAATAATCCACAATCGCAACTGCAATACAACAATGTAATCAACAATTCAATGTTGTTGTTCCAAACACAACTTTGTATAGTATTTCCAACATATAGAATATCTGATTATACAAAACTCAAACTTATTGATTCTTTTGTTGTGGTGCCTATTGAGCCATGAAAAATATAGATATTATACGTTGTACCACAACTAATCTCTAAAGCCTCATGGAAACACTTGAGCTGGATGATAATGAAATTTTATAAATAAAATCACAGCCAATAAAACTTCTTACAAAAAAAAAAAGACAATAATTTCCAAACTAATTACCATAACTTTAGCACTTAAAAGATGCTCATTACAAATTTTTGGCTGACGGACTTCTGGCGTTTGGGCGATGAATTCCCGCGATATCTTGTGATCGACAGAGAGTTTAGAAGATGAAAGTTCGCGCCAGATCTTATGTGGGAGAGACGTATGAAGGAGAAGGGAGAGAATATGGGATGAAATAAATAAAAATCTCATATAAATTATACTATTATGAAAAGAAAAAATAGAATAAGGCTATGTTTGGTAGACAAATAAGCTAACTTATAACTTATTTTGTTAGTTTATAAGCTCACTGTTTTCAAGTAAGCTCCATTTACTAAAAAAAGCTCGAGCTTATTTGAAAAGCTTCTTTGGGTAGCTTTTCAAATAAACTCGTTGAAATTTTTACTTCAGCTAGCTTATCATCTAATTTTATCAAACACTTTTATCATATAAACTAGTTTTTCGGCTATAAGCTAAAAAATTACTGATAAGCTATAGTTTTCATAATAAGCTTGAACTTTTTAAAAAGCTCATATTACCAAACAAAACTTATTAAAATTAAAAAAAAAAAACTTATAAATTAAATAAAGAAGCAAGCTAGCTTTGTGTCTACCAAACACAGCCTTAAACGTCTTTTGACAAACATTAAGGCTATGTTTGGTAACCAAATAAGCTAGTTTATAGCTTATTTGGTTAGCCTATAAGTTTTCTATATTTAAATAAGTCTCGTTTGATAGAACGAACTTTTTTAAAAAGCTCGAGTTTATCCCATATGCTTTTTAGGTAGTTTTTCGAATAAGCTAGTTGATATTTTTATTTCAGTTAGTTTATTCCCTAATTTTACCAAACATTTTTGTCATATAAGCTAGTTTTTCAACGATAGGTCATAAATTATAAATTATAAGCTCCAAAATTACATATAAGTTATAAACTAGTTTATCAGCTAGTTTTACCCAACATAGTTTAATATCTAAAAAAAAAAAAAAGAGAAAAGGTAATTTATTATCTTTTCGCATTAAAAGGAAAACGAAAAAAAAAATAAAAAAAAAAATGAGAGTATTAAAAAGAACAATATATTCGTCTCGTTAATCAATCTACGGATTATCCCAATCTTTGCGCAACAGAATAAAAATCAATGGAAAACCCTAACCATGACGGCGCCGCTTTTCCACCCCTCACCGACCACGAACCCACGGCGCACCAATCGGAGCCCGCCGCATCCCGGCAGAGTTTTGACAGCAGCCATAGGCAGTTGATCCAATCAATGGTGGCAAACTTGTCGGAGTCGGAGAAGGTCAACCTAATAATGACAGCCGCCATGAGATACGCCGTCGTGCGCGGAGACCTCTTTACGGCGCTGACCAGGGAGGACTCTAAGAAGATCTGCGTCCATATCCTAGCCTGTGACGCGACAACACCAGTTAAGCTGTTTCGTGTGCTCAACGGATTCGGGGACATGGATAAGGCCCACTTCCAGTGGTGGTTCGAACCGGATTACGTCATTGCTATGGTCTCTTTTGTCGATCCAAGGTCCGCGACACGGGTCCTCGAGACGTCGGCTGAGGATGTGGACGAGCTTCAGCTCCAATGGCATGCCCACACGGACGATTGTGCCGCCTGCCGTCGGGCGTGGACGTAGGCAACTCGGATCGTTAGCGTTTTGGTTGAATTAGATGATGACACTTGATTGAAATGCTACCTTCATGTCCATAGCAAAATTCAATATTCCTCTCTTTTGTTCTTCTTTTTGTTCAACTACTATATAAGAAATATGTATAATTTTGTCTATTTGGGATGTGTAAAAACGTTCATAGTCTGGGTTTAATTTGGCTTAGTAGAGATATTAGTAGTCGTGTAACTCAAGTAATGCGGTACCATGAACTCATCTTAAATTCCTAAAAACTACTATGAAATGCAAATTGTGATATGGGTTCAAGTTTCGACACTCGAACCAACTTGAGATCATCCAACATCAAAGAGAGCCCTCCCCACGCCGTTCTTCAGACAGCCCGTGTTTTGGCGAGAAGGAACAACCTCGTATACTATATGCCTCCCTCTAAGTAATAACAATAATGGAAAAATTGCACTATTCGTCCACTAACTATACCCTCGTTGCACTTTCGTCCATTAATTGTTTCCGGTTTACAATTGGTATACTAATTTTTTTTTTTTTGGTAATTTTCGTCCAAAATGACATTCCGATGCTCATTTTCGCCGGAATAGCTGATGTGGCGCCCAGTCAGATCGGAATTTTCATTCTCGGTGAGATGTGGCACGTGGTGGCGCCTAGTCAGATTGGAAAAATTGCACTATTCGTCCACTAACTTTACATTCGTTGCACTTTCGTCCTTTAATTGTTTCCGGTTTATAAAATCAGAAAAAAAATATTAAAAAAATCAAACAAAAAATAAAAAGCTTTAAAAAAAAAGATAAAATCAAAAGAAAAAGAAAAAAAATATAATTTTTAATTTAATAAAAAATGAAATATTTAATGATTAAATAAAAAGGAAATATTTAATAAAAACGAAATAAATTTATAATGAGTGATAAATATTTTTTATTTAATGATTAAGTATTTAATACAAAAACGAAATATTTAATAAAAAATGAAAAATATATTTTTATTAAATATTTAGTTTTTCATTAAATATTTAACCATTAATAAAAAATACTTATTAAATATTTATTACTCATGAAAATATTTATTTCTTTTTATATTTATTTTTTTATTAAATATTTTTTATTTTTTTATTTAAATAATTTTTTTTTTCATTAAACAAAGAAATGATAAACATTTCTTTTTTATTAAATATTTAACCATTAAATAAAAAATATTTATTTCTCATTAAACATTTATTTTCTTTTTCATTTCGTTTTTTATTAATTATTTCGTTTTTAATTAAATAAAAAAATGTATTTTTATTTAAAAAAAAAGATATTTTTTATTTTGTTTAAAATCATTAAACAAAATGATTTTTTTATTAATTAATATTCTTTTTTTTGTTAATTTTTTTATCCACATGTCTTTTCTTTTTCTTTTTAAAGCTTTTTTTTCTTTTGATTTTCTTAACATTTTTTTTTTTTTTTGATTTTGTAAATCGAAAACAATTAAAGGACGAAAGTGCAACGAACGTAAAGTTAGTGGACGAATAATGTAATTTTTCCGATCTGACTAGGCGCCACCTCGTGCCACATCACGCCGAGAATGGAATTCCGATCTGACTGGGCGCCACATCAGCTATTCCGGCGAAAATGAGCACCGGAATGTCATTTGGGACTAAAATTACCAAAAAAAAAGTTAGTGTACCAATTATAAACCAGAAACAATTAAAGGACGAAAGTGCAACGAGGGTATAGTTAGTGGACGAATAGTGCAATTTTTCCAACAATAATGAATGAGATTACCTTCTCACCCTCTTGAAATAAATTAACTACATATCCTTATGGAAATAACACAAGCTGAAGCAGTTTATTTAAAGCCCAATCTCCCATTTTATTTTATTTTATTTTTTTCGCTTCATGCAAATTGATGTGAAAAGGGAACCACCCAAAAAAATAAATAAATGGATAGTGAAGAAGAAATGAAAAGACCGATGATGGAAGAAAACGAGGAGGAGGAGGAGGAGGAGAGGAGCAGAAAAGGACAAAAAAAACGAGTCAGGGTCGCCAAAAGATTGAGATAGCAAAGCCTAGCAACCGGCGGGTGACCTTCTCTAAGCGGAGCAATAACTCTCCCCGACCAATTCATCTTTGGCTCTCAACTTTAAGGGATAATCTCGCATCAAACACTTCGTCAAAATAAAAAAAAAAAAAAAATTCAATCCTGCTCGAAAAGGTCAATGCTCGACTCGACTCGTTTGCAGCCTTAGTTCAACGGGTGGTTTGAACAACGTAGTGTATATTTTCATTCAGAGTGAAAATAAGTATGTTTCACAACAAAAAAAACAGCACATTTCATAGCACTGGATGTATCTCAAACTAGGAAGGAATAAAGTAGATCATAAATTGATATATGAGAGAACATCCTGTTCCATTTCAAATAAACAACACCCACTGACCACTGTGCTAATTCTAATCTCTAACAAATAATATAAAAAAAAAATAATGATGAGAAACTTCCATTCCATTCCATCCATCACAAAACCGCCCCTCTGGCAGATAGAGCAAACCGTGGTGAGCGAGTGCCATCGGAGGTGATGCCGGTTCATAACCTCAACAGGTGTTTCGAGGGCTCGTCTTGCCGCCTGGGGATCGAAATACTTGACCGTGGCTAGAGTGGTAGACCAACGAAATCCCAGCGCTTCAACATCCCCAAATTCCCTAACAGCACCATATAGGTTGTTCATACTCGTCTCACCACTCATAATATGGACGTAGATTTTCCTACACTCGTCCCCGGCCACCACACGTGCAAGCTCCGCCACCCGTTCGGGCACCACAGGAAACACCAGCTGTGTTTGGCGATAAGGTCGGGAGAGGAGTTTGATGAGATCAAACAGTACGGAACAGTGATTAGCCGCAGCCTCGGTGATCAGATCGGACTTGACCGAGTCCGGCAACCACGCAGCCTTTGTTGCTGTCAGTTGCAAGTTATTGTTGGAGATCGGCGGCGCGAATAGGAAGGAATTGGATGGATGGGGAGAGGTGTTTTCGTGTCTGCCTTGCTCGGTTTGAGCGGTGCCGTCGAGGTTAGGGTTTTCCATTGGATGGATAAATTCTTTTGCTTTCGCTCTTTCCCTATATTTATATTTCTCAATTTCGTGTGGTATAGTATAGATCACCAATTGTTTGTACTTACAGGAGATGTTACAGTAACATCAACTATGACTGACGGTTACATAATGATCTAACGGTTACAAATCCCGACGGAATAGTTCAGTGACGGGACTGTAGCATTTTCTTATACTTACTTATATAATTGAATAAACAAGTTATCTTGTGAGATTAGGAAAATAATTAGCCTAAAAAATATCTATGAGAGTTTTAAAATATCCACAACCCTTCTGCAAAGTAATAAAATATAAACATCTATTATTATTCTACAAGTAAATTGTAGAATAATATTGTTGTACGTAGAGACTCAGACTTATATGGATACGATGCTAGCTAGAACGTGGTACATAACATTAATAATTGTTAAAATGTTAGAATAGATTGTTAGAATGTTATAATAGTTTAGGAGGAAGAATATTGCTACAAATGGTTCATGAGGCTACGTATATTAATCATTTTCTTAGACTTCTTTAAAATATTAAATTTAATCATTTTCTTGTAATTTAATCATTTTCTTATAATTTAGCATGATTTTCTTTCCAAATGTGTAGTAATGTATACAAATTGAACGAATTTTCTTACCTATTAAAATTTTTGTAATCTATTTTGTTTAATCTCATTTTTTAACCAATTTAGAGATTTTATAACCAATTTAGAGATTCATATGGAAAACTTGTGGGATATATGAAGTCAAATCTAAAGCTATTCAGTCGGGATCCGGTCGGGATTGGGGGTGCCAACGGTGCTAACTAAAACAACACACTCTCCTGTGTGCTTTAATAATCATTGGATGATGGAGTATTACTTTAATCGCTCAAAATTTTTATTTATTTTTTAATCACACAACACAATAAAATACTTCTCCAATACACTTTTCAATTCCCGCGCACCCCACCCTTCTGCCAAGAAAAAATGCACCTTTCAACCTAAAAAAAAAAAGAAAAAAAAAAAGAAAAAACCTTCAGTGCATATAATTAATACTAATAATTAATACTATTATTGGAGTTGGCCTTGGTTTTAGCTCTCTTCAAGAGGTATATTTGAGTTACAAAATATTAATAATACTAATAATAAATTCATTTTTCATTTAAACATTATAAATAGTGACTTCATAAATAGCATTGAATTTTAATGTCGTTTGTTAACTGTGTTCAATTTGTAATTAAGCTACTATTAAGTGTAATATATATGCATTTTGGCTTTATTTTTTATATTATGTATATTTATTTATCCCCCAATTAAAAAACAATATGAAAATGTAACACAGTAGAATATGGTGGGAATCATTTTCTCTCCAATGTTGTGTGATTAAAAATAAATAAAAAATATTGAGCCATTAGATTAAAATAATATCATCCAATGGTTATTAAAGCACATGAGAGTGTGTTGTTTTAGTTAGCACCGTTGGCACCCCCAATCCATTCGGAGCACCTATTCCTCTTCACGAGCATGAGGAGTCAGGGGCGAAGCCAGCCTCAAATTTCACCGGGGTCGGCAATATTTTTTAGCGGGGTCATTAACTTAGTAAACAGTGTTTGAACAGTATTTTATACTAAAAATTTTGAAATTTATAGGGGTCAGCTGACCCCAGCCACAAGGTGTGGCTCCGCCACTGGAAGGAGAGGATATTGTGCATAATATCATCCTACTATTTGCTTCAATTCTCGACATGGGAAGGAGAGGATATTGTGCATAAATCAGGTTCGTTTCATCTGTCGGCTAAGGAAGCAAATGTTATACCGATCGAAAACGATGATATCCAATTTAGTGTTGAGGAATGTCAGGAAAGTCTTTTCGGTAAAATTATTGGCCACAAAAAGGCGCATCTGGCTGGAAGCAGACGAACGATTAATCAAATTTAGTAGATCAAGGGTTCAGTGGGGAATCGAGACCCCATGTAAAACTACATGTTTTGTTATTAGGATTAGGTAGATTTTAATTTACTTCTAAACCAAATATAAGTAAGTCCGGCTTATCATAAATATGTTGATTATTTATGGTTATCTTACATGTATTAATTGCATTTCAATATCATTTCTTATTATAACCGTTGAAATGTAAGCGTATTTTAAAAGTTAACAATTTTTGTATTTTTTTATCAGTTTTACATATATAATATATCAAACTAATCATCTCTTTATGAGTTTCGATTTAACATGCATATTGTATGTATAAAAAAATGTAAATTATATTTATCATTATAACAATAATAAAATTGTTTTTTAATATTAATTCAAAAAATAAAATAATTTATCAACTAATATATTTATATTTCAAGTAGTCATACGACATAAATTATAAAAATTACTATAATATAACACATGTAAATCTCACAAGTAACAAGTATTATTCTAAAATATATAACAATATATATTTTTTGTAAAAAAAATAAATAAAATTTAAAATGAATCTTTTCATTAATTTTAAAATTTAAGAATATTTTTTTAACAAGCACCCGTGAAATACATATGTGTTAGTACTAGTAGATAACATAATTCGTAAAGTCAAGTTATTTGTTATTTGTTTATATTCAAATTATATATGTTTTTTTAATTTGGGTCGCCAGCCAGCTTCAGTCAGTTAAGCAAACATAGAAAAAAAAAAAAAAAAAAAATGATTAGTTTATGTGATTTATTTCAAATCATCATCTCAGGACTACTTTTAATCACATTCTATAACCGAAATGGAAACTAGGGATTGAAAAAATTGTTAATATTCTCATCTTACCAAAAGAAAATATTTGAGTTCTATCTATTATCTACCAACACATCATAAGTTCAAACAAGAAGAGAAGAAAAAAAATAGTAAAAATCAGATAGCAAAAGCCCGTATATGTATAACTCAGATGCGACCGCGTACTAATTAGCTACTGTTGAAAGCCGAGATAATGGTTGACAAGCCTTACTGCAGAATGAGCTAAACTATCTGCTGCTTCTTGTGTGGATGCTTCAGCATACACTCTAACCACATCTTCTGTTCCTGAGGGTCGTATAAAACACCTTCCTCGAGGATATTTAGCTGACGAAAAAATAATCAAATAAGAATTTCATTTGGATAAAAATGGACAAATCCCATGCATGTAAATGTCAGTGTGTAATGAAATTAATACAACCCTTCAGTAGGGGTTTAAGCTCAATAAACAAGTTTTTTTTTTTTTTTCTCTTCTTTTCTTTTTAACATTTTTTGCAGAAGATTATCTTCTGTTTGAGTTTATCGTTTGCGCTTATCATCATTCAAACAACGTACCTCGCGTATCTCAAGTTTGATTTATTTTCTTCGATCAACTTATTTTGTTTTTTTTTTTTTCATAAAAAGGTAACATTTGCATGTACGAGTAAAACGGAGTTATTTACCTGTTTCAGCATCAATGGCTTCTTGTATACCAACAGGGCTCACAACTACAGTTTCTGCTTTGGCAGTAATTGCAGCTGTTCTATCAACGACTTTCACCTGAAGAGTGAAATACATGTAAGTGTTTGGTTTTCATGATTGGAAAAACCATGCATTCTGAACAAAGATTTTACTTTTACTGTTACGTTACTTTTGCAAATAATGCCTCCATTTCAAAATGAAAGCTAAAACAATTACTAAATTTGCCAAGCCGAAGCGTAAACAACAACTAAAACATATCAGTCGGGCATTTATAAATTTCACTAAACCTAATATATATAAACAGAATTTTTTTCATTTACATAAGCAGAAATAATCAATGTGTACGAGTTAGCGAACCTTAAGTTGCCTGCTCGGTAAATCTTGATAGAGCCCATTCCATTTATGAATAGACCAGCCCATATGTTGCAAGATGGCTTCCACTAATAGCAACCCACTTAATGCGTCCCCAACAGCCTGATTAATCAACTTACTCACAGCCGATAATCTCAAAGCCGCCTTATGTTGATCCGAACCTGGAAAGAAAAGTAAATACCACGAAACAAAGTAAAAACAACAATCAATAATCATGATATTAAAAAATGTACTTCAAAATAGAAAAAACTAAATTGACCTTCTGATGATGATGAAAGTTCGTTGTTTTTAGTCTCCAACCAGGACAAAAAATTATCTGAAAAGAAGATGGTCCCGTGTCCATTTGTCTCAAAATATATGCCGATATCAAACTCAGCTGCTTTTTCATGAAGGTACTTGACTCCCGTTGGAGTCAACACAACCTCGAGCCCCAACTGTTTCAAGTAATCAGTGGAGGCCCTGTTAGCATAAGCTGTCTGTACTACAGCAAGAGAGGCCCTGTTAGCATAAGCTGATATAAGAATGCTTAATTGGTCCTTGAGAAATAAAGCAAACAAGGACAGTATTTTGTCCCCATCAACTGGTAGTTTTCGTAATTACCCCAAAAACAGAGAAAAAAGACTACATGAATGCAGACTTATTATTAAGCCACTTTGATATGACTAAAAAGATGATAATTAATGCATCCAAGAGAAAATTTCTTGGCCTCACTTCAGATGCGTTCAAATGGTTGACGGTAACAGTAATAAGATCTGGAAAAGAAAATGCAAACACAATATCTACAACGCAAAAAAAACACATGACAATCAGAAAAAAATAAGAAAATAGGCGACCTCGTGCCGGCATCAGCCGGACCAAAACCACGTGGAACAATCTTCTCTTTCTGCACATAATCAGCATCTGCACCTTCATTAATTAAGTACACCATCACCAAAATTACGTACATCAATTGTTAAATTACTCAGCTTTGACTTCAACTGTAAAAGCTTTTGTCGACCAACACCATCAGCCCCATCCACAATCAATTTGTCATTCACATTGTTACTAATAGTGTGATATTGAAACTAACCTAAAAGAAGTTAAAAGCTGGTCATAGTAATTTTTCTCATATGCTTCCATGCATGCCTTTATTTTTTTCGCACGAACCAACCAATGCAGTTGAGGAATTGTCACGACTCCAATATCTGAGACCGAATGGACCTGGTCTGAATGGACCTCAATGCCGCCAGTATCCCCACACGGTACATGGTTGACTCAAGCAATAAGAGTTTTCGAACACGAAAGTTCAAATTTTGGAACTCTAACAAACATCGTAGATCCAGATTGGTAACATTGTGAACGACAGTAAAAGCCGATAACTTTGTAATGAATGAAAACCATCCGGACTAATCCTAAATGGGCCCTCTTACAATTTTAATCTGGAAAAAAGTCTCCTTAATTTAAAATGTGAAAACCTCCATGTTACTAGTAGTGTGATATTGAAACTAACCTAAAAGAAGTTAAAAGTTGGTCATAGTAATTTTTCTCATATGCTTCCATGCCCTTATTTTTGCGCGAACCATCCAATGCAGTTGAGGAGTTGTCACGACTCCAATATCTGAGAACGAAACTCCTACGATTGACTTTATGCCCTGACATTAAAATCATAATAATTGCTTCATTTATGCATAACAATGCAAGGTCTGTCCAAAAACAGGCCTATGCTTGAAAAAATAAAAACAAATCTATACAAAAATTATAATTTATGTACTTAAACAACCCATCACTAAAGAGTTGCAAGACAAGAAACATAGGAACAAGGGATATAGATCCCAACAAAAGTTAAAGCAAGATTAATACTTGTTTACCAGCCTCAACAAGAGACATCCCACTTGGCCTAGTGTCCCTTCCCAAAAAAACTTCGGTTGCACAGGCTCCTTCAAGTTTAATGTTTTCCTTCTTCACAAAATCATCCAACAACTGTTTCGAGCATCAAAAAAGTCTTACCCACAACCAAATAATACACATGACCGAGAAAAGAAGGACAAAGCAAAAAGAACTTCATTAATAACTGAATTAACTGTTACCTATTAGCTAAAAGAAAGCCCACTAACCAACCTCCATCCCATACCTCATATGATATCGACAAAATAACTCAATAAAGATTGTACGTGCATACCTCAATGAGAGCGAGAGGGTCAGCGGCATTAGCAACGTCATCAGCAAATGGCTCCCACTGCTGAGTCAGCATCCCGCCTGACGGGTCCGCCACTTTGATCCCGTTATCTGTTACGTTGTTGTGTGAGGCCGTGATCATGAGGCCGATTGTAGACCTGGTCTGAATGGACCTCAATGCCGCCAGTATCCCCACACGGTACACGGTTGACTCAAGCAATAAGAGTTTTCGAACACGAAAGTTCAAATTTTGGAACTCTAGCAAACATCGTAGATCCAGATTGGTAACATTGTGAACGACAGTAAAAGCCGATAACTTTGTAATGAACGAAAACCATCCGTATTTTAATTTCCAGTTATAACCTCTGTTTGCGCTCAAGTGAAGTGGACGATGAAGAACATAAGAAGGATCTTCTGCAGTTGTGAGTTTGACGAGAAACTGTGATGAATGGGTATTTTCTTGTTCGTCTTCTTTCTCATAATATGATTTTTTTGGGAAAAAATATGCTTAACCCATCCAAATAGAGTTTTTTACTTTTTTTACACTTTACAAACTCTAACTTTTTTTTTTTTTTGACAATATAACTTTGCAAAAAATTGCAGTTAATCGATTTTCGATCATAGTCGGGCATTTCTAAAAGCAAAGTTGACTTGAGTGATTTTTTAGAGAAAAATTACACTTTACCCATCTAATTGTACGTTTTTTGCACTTTACGTACTCATTTTTTTTCACCTTACCCATATAACTTCATATAAAAATGCACTTAAGTAATTTCCAGTCACCATTGTCCACTTATAAGAGCAAAGCTGACTTTGCAGCGACTTATTTAAGGAAAAACTAGTTAATTACAATATTTTGAATTCTTATATCAACCTCAACGATTTCTAACTTTCCAAACTCAATCAAAGATGTCAATTAGAAAAAGATATAGAGAAAGAAAAAAAAAATCACACAACACACACCACTAATTATTAGAGAATATTTATTTTACAAAAGTATAATCAGAAATTTTCTCCTAATACCAGACTATCAATATCATCATATCATAATGAAATCCAAGAATTCAAAACATTTCAAACAAATTAGATACAAAACATTGTATAGGAAAAACTCCTTATAAAAAATAAATTTTTGCGAGTTTTGTTTAAAGTAAAATTAGCTGTAATATATTCATTCATAAGATTAATTCAGAAGATGATAATGAAAAATCATCTTGTGTATTTTCTAATTTTCTTCCTTCCAAACTTTCAAGTTCAAACCCTTTTTACCCTTACAAATGCGCCACAATGACCGAGAATTGCCGAAGCGCAAATTATTTTCAAGTTACACGAGCAAAGTGTAAATAAATAAAAAATAAATAAAATAAAAGTTGAGCGTGTAAAGTGCAAAAAAAAAGTATAGATAAGTGGAAAAAGTGTAATTTTCTTAATTACAATTATTTGAATGAATGGCTGAAAAGTTAATATTGTCCTTAGAAATGGCCGACGAAAACTGGAAATTGATTAAGTACAATTTTTTGCAAAGTTATATGGACAAAGAGTCACGAAAAAAAAGTTGAGTGAGTAAAGTGCGAAATCTATAGTTAAGTGGGCTAATTATAAATAATTTTGTACAAAATCGAATTGATGGCTCAATTTAACATATTGATTGATTATTGAGATTCTAAAATCATATTAATCATTTGTATAGATCAAGATTCATTTTTTTTTTTTTTTTTCATTTTCTTTACTTGTTACAACTTATTGTAATTACATAACATAGATTATCAAATAATATTTTACATGTTCACCTAAGTTTTAGGCTCACAATAAATAGACGAAAGGATAAAACAATACGTGAATAAAAAATGTTTCTCCAACATATATCCCTTTATAATAATTTTAATACTAGTACGTATAATTTCAGCACGTTAACAGTTGCACTGTTTCCCAATATTTAGATTTCACAGATTGTTCTTCCAATTGAAACATGAAAAATAATCAAAACTCAAAACTTACTCTCACACACAAACACCACTGTGCTCAAAGTACCAAAATATCATCAACAACTTCATCTATCAAACTACTCAAGACCTAAGACTCGATTTGAATCCCGAGCTCATAAACATCGACTTCATGGTCGAGCCACGACCCCTTTTTGCTGCTCATGTACTTACCAACAATTTCATCGACCATAAAATATCCCATTGAACCCCAACAAGAAATATCTTTGTACACATTTTCAGCTAACGCGTTTTCTTTTAACCACAAGCGCAGCCTTGGCCCATAATTTATATCCTCCCTTTGCAAATCGTCTGCGTCTCAATTCCAAGCACTTTTTCACGCAGTCAAACATAAGCCTTTTATTGAATCTTGAAATACTTTCGACACCATGCGAATGTCCTTCTTCTCGAGTTTCGAGTTGTTTGAAAACACGAGACTTTATGAATCTATGATCTCACTAGTTTTGCCGAGTGCATAGTCCTTAAACATAGTTCGATATTGCTTAGCTTCTTTATGTACAATAGTTCAAAATTTCTTGGTTTACTATTATGGTAAGGTAAATTTAAGGCGACGCTTCCCGTTTTGGGTGCTTTCGAAGTAGAAGAGGCTGAATATGATAAATCAGCTTCTTGAAATTGAATGGATGAATACTGCTTGCCACCTATAAATTTGTAGGAGTTAAGACTGTTTACGAAATTTGGTGCATTTAAAAAGGTAGTGATTTTTGTGGTATTTTAAGCTTCCGAACCCACCTTCTTCCGCGGAGGCAGCTAGACGGCTTCTTCATGTGCAGCTCATTCAAGGTGCATGTACATCTTGATCAAGCTTCTTCAAACAATAGAAGCTTGATGAATATACTAGATCTTGGTAGAAACTACAAGTAAATGTAGAATATTGTAATAAGGACCAAGACTTGTGTGAACATTGTACATAATGTTAAATAAATGTTAGAATAGTTCGGAAGGAGGAAGACTGCTGAGGGAACTAGTTAGATCGAGACAGTTTATTAGAGGGAGGGGTGACTATAAACAAGCGAGACACTTCTGCAATCATACTATTAAATAGTAAGTGGATGTCATGATAAAATAGTTAGGGTGTTTTGATAAATGAAATATGAATGGTTGTATGTAATTACTATTTTAATCAAATAAATCCAATCTAACACTAATATTCATGTTCATCTCAATAGCAACTGCAGCTCTCCATTAGCAGCTGCAGCTCTCCATGTTCATATATCAGCCTGTGTAGCTATTCATGTTGATATGACTAATACCAAAAAAATTTGTAACACTTTCATATATAATAATATAATTGTAGTTATTTGTTTATATTCAAATCTAGAAAAATCTGTAACGCTTTCATAAATAATAATATAATTGTAAAATCAGGTTATTTGTTTATATTCAAATCCTTCATGAAATTTTTTAGATCACTTTAAAGTTTTTGAGTCAACCAATTGCTTAGTCGATTTTGCCATCTAAATACAATCTACCCCGCCTTAAAGAAAAAGTTGAATCGTGATTTATTTCAGCTCATCATCACCGAACTTACTTTTAATCACATCCTGTATAACTCCGAAAAAAAATGCTAATCTTCTTATCGAAAGAAAAGATTTGAGTTATATCTATTATCTACCAACACACCATAAGTTCACTTACTTTTAGCTACTTGAAAGCCGAGATAATGGTTGACAAGCCTTACTGCAGAATGAGCTAAACTATCTGCTGCTTCTTGAGTAGATGCTTCAGCATACACTCTAACAACATCATCTGTTCTTGAGGGTCGTACGAAACGCTTTCCTCGTGGATACTTAGCTGACGAAAAAATAATCAAATAAGAATTTCATCGGGATAAAATTGGACAAATCCCATGCACGTAAATTGGGCCTGCCTGGTGCCTACAGCGGATTGATCCTCAAACAAACTCCCAACTCGATCCTCTGTTTGCGCTCAAGTGAAGTGAACAATGAAGAACATGAGAAGGATCTTATGCAGTTGTGAGTTTGACAAGAAACTGTGATGAATGGGTATTCTTCTTCTTTGTCTTTTTTATCATAATATAATTTAATTGAATTGATGGCTCTATTTAGCATACTGATTGATTATTGAGATTCTAAAATTATCCTCCCTATATATAATTCCAGAATGCGTTGAGCCTACGTGGCTACTTCTGGTGCTTCGAAATCTTATTTGGTGAAGAATCATGCTTCGTAATTAGGTTTGGATGAATAATATTGATATATTAATAATTAATAATTTAGGTTCGGGTATTCCATAAATATTATTTAGCTAACTTAGGTATTTTAATATCACTTTTACTAATATAACCCTTTAATTTTTTGTAATTTTACATAGTGAGGCACTAAGTGACTAATATATCCCTGAATTTTGATTTGTTTCCTTCAATAAGCTATTGAATTATAAATGTATTTTAAAAGTTGAAAACTTTTGTATTTCTTATCGGTTTTACATATATAATATATCAAATTAATCATTTTTTGATGATCTTCGATTTGACATCCATATTGTATATGTGAAATAAATAAATTATATTTATCTTTATAATAAAAAAATAATATTTATTAAAATTCATTAGAAAAATAAAATTATTTCTCAATTGATATATTTATATGTAATGTAATTATATATTGTAAGTTAAAAAAAATAGTATAATATAACACAAGTAAGTCGCACAAATAAAAAGTGTCATAATAAATATATAATAATATATATATTCTTATAAAAGGTATTTAAATTTTCAAACTACTTTTTTCTTATTAATTTTAGATTTTAAGAAAAAAATTAGCAAGCACCCGTGTAATACACGGGTGTTGTACTAGTATTTAATTATTTGTATATATGAAGATTCTTTTTTTTTTTT